AAAAGTGCTCACATAAGTTTGGAGAAAATCCTTGCACGCAGAATTCATTTTAAAAGTTTTTTTTTTTTTTTTTAAAGGAGAAATTGACAAGAGACAAGTAATTTTCTATGGACTCTTAAAATCAAATTCCCTCCTTTGGCTGTGGTATGTCATCAGCTTCTTCATATCTGGGCTAACAGTACTTCCAAAATGGAACAGACTACATCTTCATTTGGGTATAAGATGAAACAAGCGATTCTTTTAAAGCAGTTTCAGCTGGGAAAAGATTAAAAGGCAAAAAGGCCATTTTCAAGCTTTCATGTAGAACAGCTACAGTGTGGTGACAGACTAACCAAAGAGTTTTTTTTTTTTTTACAGCTAATTATTTCCCCTTATAGATAAGCATACCTTTCGTAAAGAAATATGCTCTGGTACCATCTCCTCGCACATAAAAATTTTCAGATAAGCAATGCCCTAAAAAAAAAATTGCAATCAGAGAAACCTAGTATTCCTTCAAACAAAACAAACAAAAACTTGAAATAAAACATAAACAAAGCATTCTTTAAAACACATGAAAATAACTCCAAACTGAATATACCCCTTTTAAAACGAAGCTGAGTCTTATCATATCTTCCATAGTCCCGAAATAGCAGCATTCCCCCAGGCTTCAGTAACTTGGACAGTCGGTTTATAACACCTTGCATCCTTTGAAAACAAAGCAAGACACTGTTTACAGAAATCTTGTTTTACATGCCACATCCTAACCTTCTTAGAGATAAAATAAGGAAAGCTCGATGGGGCCAAAAAATCTAACCCACAAAAATAAGGGCAACAAAAATATATATATTTTGTATAGAAAGGAAAAAGGGTACCAACTTGCTAAATGATAAGAATCAAAAGGCCTAGAGTATCAAGTAATCACCCAAATGACAAGAGTGGTGACTTCAGAGAGCTTGATATATGATGTCAAAGCTGCCCTGCAAAACCACAGATGGCTCCTGATATTTACATCAAGTTAAGGTAGTACCAAGGCAGATAAACACTGAAGTTGCTTCATTTTCCTTGAAGATAAAAAAATATTGTAGAGCTATTCCAAATTGCACATGTCTAAACAGAGATCATCTTTCCTCCCGGACTAGCTCCTTCTCCTTTATTTCGTTCAAAGGTACCATCATTCATCAAAGTGTTAACACCTCAGAGACATCCTTAACCCCTTTCCTTTTTCTCCTCTTCCACTAACCTCCCCATAACCATCTAGTCATCCAATTCTAGGTGTTCTTTTTTTAACTGATGGCTTTTTTCTCTTTTTTTGTTTCCCTTTGGTGCTCCTTTAGTACAAACTTCTACCTCCTTAGGCCTGAAAACACACTACTTCTTAACATGCTTTATTATTCCCCTTGTTAAGTCTTCCTGTATATTACTGATGAATTATTCCGCTTAAAATGATGGTTTTGTCAAATCATCCCTTTGCTCAAAAATGTTCATGATTTTAACCCATAGGATAAAATCTTAATTTCTTAGTTGGGCCCTTGAGATCTCCTACAACTGGTCTCAATCTCTCTAACATCTTTACCATTACTTCTCAATGTGAAGCATCAACTCTCGCTAAACTGTTATATGCTTGGCTCTGAAGCAGTCCATGCCTTCGTTCACATGGTTTCCCCTCAAAGAATTCTCTCCTTCTTACTTTCTGCCTATTTAAATTCTATTCACACTCCACCCCCAGCTCAATACTGGGAAGCCTTTACTTTCTTTCTTTTATTATTTATTCTTTTCATTTGGCTCTCAATCAAATATGACCCCTTGTGACTGCTCTTGACTTAATGTTTTTGGTTAAGTTTATGGTCTTATGTGTGATTATGGGCCAGAGATGGCAAAGATTTCAGATCTCATATTAATGCCAAGTGAGTGACATTGGCTGCCTACAGAGCTCTATTGAGAAGGGCTCTTAGGGCTCACTGGGAATGACAATCAGGGTACAAAATCAGTTATCAGTGTCTGCCCTGAGCAGAGAATGGTAAATGGCAGCCTGTGTGCTAAGTCCTCCCCATCTCTGCTTCATCCATGCTACTTAAAGCTTCTAGATTTTTCTTATTTTAAAAATGAGGGTTTTAGATTAGATAATCTGTAAATCCTTCCAGTTAAAACACTGTTCAGTGGAATAATGGAGTGAAAAGCCAGATTTATGTCAGGTTTTGAAGGAAGTAGTGAGGAAATTAAAGTAACTATGAAAACAAGACAGAAATATAACAGAAAGAGGTGGCATAATTAGATGAAATGCTCTTTTAAAAAACTGGAACATAAGTACATGAAAGGGAAAAAAGAAAAATATTTTTCCTTGTTTATTTTATTACAGGTTATTTTCACACTGTGCTTATGGCCTTAGGCTTTGGCAATTAAAGAAAACTGTATCTAATCCTTAAAATATCCACTTTCAGAAGAAATGTTTTATGTACTGAGAAAAATATCTTTCTGCAACGATTACTAAAACAAGCATGAAACAAAGATACAGAAAAACAAAGGGCCAAATACAGCCATCTCCGTCTGCAAATCCTTTCTTCCCAATTATCCTTTAATGTCTGGGGTTGTGAGTAAAGGCAAGGGTGGGGAGCTGCTTTTCTTCATCATCCCATCTTGCTTGGCTCAGCGCCAACTTCCAGAGCCACTTCCTGAGAACTGTCGGTGGGAGAGGGCTGGGGGAGATGGACAAGACAATAATGGGTGAAGGCTCCTTTTCTTTCTTTATTCCACTCAGGCCAACTCTGCTATCCTCATCTACCTCTAGTTGGAGGGTGAGGAAAAGGAAGAAGAGATTTTAAAAAGGAGTGTTTATTGACTACCTACTCTCTGCTTGGATCTGTGGTAAACATATTATACTGTATTTTATTTTAATGATAAGGACAGTTAGCTCTTCTTTTGTAGCCTCCTGTGGTTTATTCCCATTTAGGCTAGGATGCCCAGACTCAAGGTCTAGCAGAATCGCTTGCCATTCGTTTGTGCATGGATTTTCCAAGCTGTCAAGAAGACACTTTTCCAAAACTTTCACGGGGCTAAATATATCACTGTCCCAAATGACTCTAAAGATACTGTCCTGCCTTTTCACTTACTACTGCCCTCCTTCTACGCATTCACCCTTTTTTAGGTCATTTAGACCATTTTAGGCAAGAAAATGGCTAGGGACATGATACATGTAAATTTATTTTATAATAATTACATAGAATGAACATACTATAGAATGACAGTAATCCTTCCAAGACATCTTCCCCTTCTTTTTAACATTCAGTTCAAATCATAAGAAAATACATTATCTAAACTAAATTCAAGTAGTGGTTTTGTGGTCTTATTTGGAATTTAAACACTTCCTGTTACAGGTGTCAAATAGAAAATCTTGTTCTCTATCCACCTACTCCATCCTTTTAACTATTCATTCTTTTAACTATGAGACAAAATACATAGATGACATCTTTCTACCAGTACCTGAATAATGCCAATATTCTACCCAGATTAGTAGAAAGACATAGATTATAGAAACTGGGAGGAAATGTAGCTTCATGGAATGTGATATATCTCACCAGGTACAAATATGTTTCATTCAGATTTATTTGAAAATTTAATTTGTCTTTCAAAAAGCAACCAAAAAGCTCATCTCTAAATGAGAAGTAAAAGGACCGTAAAGGGTCTTAATGATTTTATAATTGCAAAGGAAAACGCACACATTAACCCACTTTCTTTGGGAAAGTGTCACACTCATCAAAGAGTGGTTGGTATCAAGTCTGTATCTACCAGCAGAGGAACATTCCTGGAGCTAAATCTACTACCAGAGCAGAAAACCCAATTTTAAGAAAACTTACAAATGCACAACCCTTGACACCACACGTGTCTTAATATACATGAGGTGGCAAAATTCTAAGAGAAGTGATCATTTTAATAGCTGGTAATATGTCTTTCTACTTCCTCTCTGAACAAAAGCTATGTTTACTGTTTCAAAACATTGTGTGAACAGGGCGCCTCAGTGGCTCAGTCAGTTAAGCATCCAACTCTTAATTTCAGCTCAGGTCATGATGTCGCGGTTCATGGGATCAAGCCCTGTGTCAGGCTCTGCACTGACAGTGTGGGGCCTGCTTGGGATTCTCTCTCTCCTCTCTCTCTCTCTCTCTGCCCCTCTCCCACTACCACTCTCTGTCCCTCTCAAAATAAATAAATAAACTTAAAAAAAAAACACTATGTGAACAAAAAATCGAAGTCATAAATATTTAAATGACGGCATTAGGCCAACCTTAGATTATAAAGGTCCAAGGTTAATCTGGCAAATCTTGAGTACCCCTAATTCCCTAGAGGGCTCTTTAAAACACATTCTTTTTTATTAGTTTTCTTTATTTTTGAGAGGCAGAGAGAGACAGAGCACGTGTGGGGGAGGGGCAGAGAGAGAGGGAGACACAGAATCCGAAGCAGGCTCCAGGCTCTGAGCAGTCAGCCCAGAGCCTGATGCAAGGCCCGAACTCACGAATTGAACCGTGAGATCATGACCTGAGCTGACGTCAGATGCTTAACCGACTGAGTCACCCAGGCGCCCCTAAAACACGTTTTTTTAAAGTCTTGTGACAGACTGGTATGAAGCCAAACAGATTCACAACCCACCTCTTCACGAACATTCAGTAAGATGCTAAATCAAAGAAAGATGTTTGTTTCTGATCACCAAGTACAATTTCCCTCTTGGGAGTCTATTAGGCTGTTCTGAATTTGTAATCTCCTTAAAGCACTGTCACTTTTAATAGGTATGTGTCTTGACAGAATATGCTCACTTCACTCTGACAGTGATAGAAAGCTCACTAATGAAGCAGTTTGACCGGTTTCTTTCTAAAAGTCTGAAGAAAGGAAAAACTGCACTTAAAAGGCTGCATGTTATATATGGTATAGTTCACTAAATAATAAAGTTAAGAATTGTCACTTTTGATAGTTCTGAAAACCACGATTGATAAAGGTGCTTTACACATTTGCTTTGCCCTTTCTCGTGTCTTCAGTTACCTGTCAGGATGAATAGAAGAGAGCACAAAGACAAGGAGAATGACGTCCAGGATCCCATCTGGAAAAGGGTACGGTGAATCTTCATCACAAACATCATGAACAAAGGCACAACACTGAGCTGCTCTGTAGGATGAGTGCAACTATCATGATAAAGGAACAATAATAATAAAAAAGCAGTTAGCAGACTTTTACATTTTTCTTAAAATAAAGAGGTCAAATTTTATATTTCTCCCTAGTGTCTTCCCTCTGTAAATATGAATGCATTTTATTTCAGATTCCATATTCTGTTGGCTTATTTCAAGCTGCCATAAAAAAATTAAGTCTAGCACTTGGACTCAACAACAAGTATTCTTCACAATCCCTTTTTAATTTTAAAAGTGGAATAGGGCAGGCTTTAGCAGCGTTGCTGGAAGCCTACCCTATGTGATTTCGGAGGCACTGAGATCATCCTGTTTTCTCTCCCACTGCTTGTCCATGCCTCCTTTGGCTTAAGATACAAATATCCTCTAATACACAATCAGATAATAGTAATGACTGTACAACTCTGTAAATATACTAAAAATCACTGAATTGTATACTTTATTTTTTGAAAAAGATAGAGAGTGAGTGAGCATACAAGCTGGAGAGAGGGGCAGAGGGAGGGAGAGAGAGGGATAGGGAGAGAGAGACAGAGAGAGAGAGACAGAGAGTCTTAAGTAGGCTCCGAGCCCAATTCGGGGCTTGATCCCACAACCCTGGGATCATGACCTGAGCTGAAATCAAAAGAGTTGGATGCTCAACTGACTAAGCCACCCCAGTGCCTCTGAACTGTATAACTTTAAAATGGTGAATTTCATGGTCTGTGAACTATATCTCAATAAAGCTGTTATTTTCAAAAAATTAGAGCAGGGGTGCCTTGGCTGGCTCAGTTGGTGAAGCATGTGGCTCTTGATCTCAGGGTCATGAGTTCGAGCCCCATGTTGGGTATAGAGATTACTTAAATAAATAAACTTAAAAAAAATAAATAATGAAAAAATTAGAGTATACACACACACACACACACACACACACACACAAATGCACATGCACACAGTTTGAGTACAAAACAACACTAGAAGCATATATACCAAAACAGTAACCTCAATTCACCATAGGACTCTAGGAAGTGTGATTATAGGTGAATTTTATCTTTCTCTTTAGGTTTTTTAGTATTTTAGAAAATGTCTACCATGAATAACTATTACTCTTGTTATCAGAAATTAAGTTCCATCTATTGACTACACATTTCTGTTAGCAGAATTTCCTTTCCTTTCCCATTTCCTAAAAGTACTTTTTGCTAAGGTAATGCTTACTAGCTTTTGGGGATTGGTCAAACAAACCCAGGCTCCCCACTGTTTTCCAAATAGTCCAAGACATTTTACATTTGTATCATATACTTTCTCAAAATTTGTTTTACTTTCAAAAGTTTCAATTTAACTAGTGCCTACTATGTGTCAGTCTGTGCATAGGGCTCTAGGGACATAAATATGAATAAGATCACCTCATAGGACCTGCTGACCTTTCTAGGTGTACCAGTCCCTTCATTTTTATTTCATTTTATTTTCCTTTTTTTCCCCAGCTTTATTTTGAATTCAAAATAACTTCTATCATTTTAGGGTAATATCTTAGGCATCAGGTAATGATGTGATTCCCAGAATTAGTAAAAGCTCAGTTAAAAATGGTTACAGATAACACTGAAACATTTAAAAAATATCACTTCAACAACAAATAAATTATATCCTTACATGGCTCTCTTTAAAGAAAATATGAGGCATACCTTTACTAGTTCCACAGCTCCGGAAGCAAAATCACAACAATAAAGAAAGGACTCTGGAGCATTCCTATGAAAATGGAAGAAATATTTAAATCTAGAGTTCACATATGCTCAGGTTACAAAAGAAAAGAAACTGTAGGCTTGAACTTGTTAAAAGGTATTTCCTTAATAAAATTTTGGATGCCACCTGGCTTACTGTTTCTCCTTTTAGATGGTGTTCTCTATAATGGTGTATGGGTGCCTTCATGGTACTTCTGAAACAGCATTGTCTCAAATACTTATTAATTACAAGGTAACTTTCAAATTCCTGTCCTGGTTTTTTTTTGTGTGTTTTTTTTTTTGTTTTTTAATTTTAGAGAGAGTGTACATGAGTGAGGGAGAGGGATGGAGGGGGAGAGAGAGAGAGAATCTTAAGCAGGCTCCATGCTCAGCACAGAGCCTGACACAGGGCTCCATCCCATGACTTGAGCCAAAATCAAGAGATGGACGCTCAACAGACTAAGCCACCCAGGTGCCCCTTCCTGTCCTGTTTTTTTTTTTTTTTTTAATTTTTTAACGTTTATTTATTTTTGAGACAGAGAGAGACAGAGCATGAACAGGGGAGGGGCAGAGAGAGAGGGAGACACAGAATCGGAAGCAGGCTCCAGGCTCTGAGCCATCAGCCCAGAGCCTGACGTGGGGCTCGAACTCACGGACAGCGAGATCGTGACCTGAGCTGAAGTCGGACGCTTAACCGACTGAGCCACCCAGGTGCCCCCCTGTCCTGGTTTTAAAGCTCTCCATTGCTTGGGTCTACCTGCCTTACGTCCCATCACACTCTCACACAGGAACCCTCCAACGCCCTCCATCATCATTGCTCCGTCTTCCTCCCCCTCAGTCTTTCTTCTATGCCTCCAGCCAGCAGGGCCTATAGTTCCTTGTTGCCTAGTCAAGTGCTACCCTTGTGCAAGGATGCTCAGACCCTTGTGTTCTTTGGTGCTTCAGTCCCCTTTCTGTGTGTACAACTCATTTGGTTCTTGAGCTTCTCACAGAGGCTCTGATGCCCTAATGGGACAGGAATACATATGTATTTTAATAGCATGTAAATACCACTTCTAAAAAAGAGTAAAAAAATACTAATATATTAACTCTTAGTTATCTTTTCAAGTTTTTTCCAACATTTATTAAGACTCATGTATGTACCAAGAATTAGAATACAAGTTAGTAAATGAAATTGTCCAATAAAATAGTAAGAGTATGGATTTTGAAGCCAAACAGACCTGCGTTTAAGTCCTGAATTTGCCATTTATTAACTCTGTGAATTTGACTCATCCTCTCTAAGACTCAGTTACTTTATATACAGATGTAAATAAATACAGTTATTTTTTGGTTGGAGGATGTTTATTCATATAAAAGTCTTGAGTAATCTTAATTGGCCTCCACTGAACTTAGACAAGTTCTATTTCGCTTTTTACCTGAAATTCAGTAACAATGTCTGGACCATGGTTACTCACGGGCATGCATATACTTTGAATTTTGTGGGTCAGTACTCTTCCCGGTCATCCCTCGTATGCTTGTATCAAATAATTACTGCATCATGTTGCTTAGCACCAAGCCTGAATCACAGAGACTGGCATGTTATGAAACAACAATTATAACTATAGTTCTGGCTCCTGTGGGTTTTATAGCCTAGTTGGGGATATGATTGGTTTTATCTAGCTTCTACAGGGTTATGGATAGGGCAGACTTCCTAAGTCTTACCTAAGGTGTAAGTTTTAACAATTCTGAAGAAGGGGGATAGCAATGCTGAATGGGGAGAAGGATAAATGGTATAGGGCTTAAAGGTGGGAGTCATGTGCCAAGGATGAGAAGCAGAGTTGATCCTGAGAGCTCAAACCAGTATGTGGCAGGATATACAAGTGGGCCGTGAAACACATAATTAGAACTTTGATTCAGGAGACATTTCAAGCAAGGAAAACTACTAAATAAATATGGGATACAAGCACAAATATGAATTCCACAAATAAAATCTCACCCAGGCTCAGATAATACTCTTAAATGCTACTCATGGATGAGTACTATGAGAAGGAGTCCTTCATTCTGTGGCATTTGGAGATTTGCATTCAATTTAAGATCTGTCCAAATAAGTTAAAGTATAATGAACAGGATTTGGTTATGACTTGCACTGCTTGTTTTTTTTCATCTGTCCCAAATAAAAACAGTATTTAGGGGCACCTGGGTGGCTCAGTCGGTTGAGCATCTGACTTCGGCTCAAGTCATGACCTCACAGCTCATGAGTTCGAGCCCCACGTCGGGCTCTGTGTTGACAGCTTGGAGCCTAGAGCCTGCTTCAGACTCCGTGCCTCCCTCTCTCTCTCTGCCCCTAACCCACTCGCATTCTGTCTCTGTCTCTCTCAAAAATAAATAAACATTGAAAAAAAACCAACAGTGATTTATTGCAGCCTGTACCCCTATTGCTTCCTATGAAATCCATATATTTATGACTCTTAATTTGCTGGGTGGTCATATGTGTTTGAAAATTTTCCGTAAGCACTCAGATGCACGAGGTAATATGATGGCTAAGGGCAAGGGCTCTGGAACCAAACTGTCTATGGTTTGAATCCTGGCTATACCACTTAGTTGTGTGACCTTGGAATAGTTACTTAATCTCTTTGTAATCCTGTTTCCTCATCTATAAAGCAGAGATAAATATGGCATCTAAGGTCACTGTGAGGACTGAAGGGATTCTTAGAAGTTTCTAGGAAGGTTCCTAACTCAGAGTAAGCACCTAATAAATGTTAGTCATTATTATAATTGTTGTTGCTATTGCTATTATTACTATTATCATATTATAGGAAGATTTGCCTTTGCCTTCTAGGAACTTAAAAACTTAAGAAATTATCATGGTTCTATAAAAACTTCCATATAACTCAAAATGCTTCTCTGGACACTGGCACATCTAGCTCATTATAAAAGGTATGCAGTCAACCTTTGGGCAGTGGCTACTAAACACCCACAAGATATAGAGCAGTCTAGCAGTTAAAGAAAGTATGTGCCATTTGCCATGTGGTCCTACCAGGACAGCAGCATGACCTCTGAGAGTGAATTCCCATGCATCAGCAGCCCAAGTTGAAGTCTTGTGACCACCCAATGACTTTCCAGAGCTTTTCTGTAAAATCAGCTGACTGCCTTGGCCCTTCTCCCAGCAAGCAGGTGTAAATATCACTACTAACACCACACCACAAAGCACTCCCTTGGCAGGGGGTTTAAGAATTAAATGATCCTTGGAGAATGATATGACCTCTCAATTCCAGAGGTCTAATTATGGTAAAATATTCTGAAAATGTAAAACACTAATCCTGTACTCTCCAAAAGCAATAAAACATAATTTCTTAGGTGGGAAAAAAAGTCTAATCCTCCCTTTGGAAGGCTAATCACTGACTGCCTTTTAATGATGAATTAATTATCTTGCATTATCGAACTACAATGACTTTTTTTAAAAAAGACAGAGCCACGAAGAATCAAGGAGCAAGGAAGAAAAAGATTGCAATTATTAGCTGGAGGGAGAAGTAAAAAGGGAAAAATATTACTAACAAGTGGGGATTCAGAGATATTAGTCAATATGTATTGAGCTCTAACTATCTGTATTATACTGTTGGGCTACCTGGAAAATCAGATTAGGGTAAAATATGCTTTCTACCTCAAGGAATACAAGCAGTGGCTGGAGACACAAGACATAAAGAAATGACATGCTAAATAATACCTTGGGATGAGTCATAAAGTAACACATTATCAACTGCCAAGGTAGTAAATTTCTGTGTACCGTAAGCTCAGAGATAACTCGGGTGAAGGAAACTGGCTACGTGGTATAATAAAACAGGAAACATTGGCCCAGAAATGAGGAAAAGGGAAAACAAAGAGAATAAAGACAAAAGGAGAAAGGCCATTCAGACCTGCAAATGTGCAGTTCTATCACTTCTGCCTGGCCACTTTAACTGGTAATCTGATGGTATTTGGAAATTACTATTTACTATGTTAGTAATGAAGAATATCCTGATTTTTTTGGCGCTACATCATAAGTATTTAAAAATAGTGTCCTGGGGGCACCTGGTGGCTCAGTTGGTTAACTGTCCGACTAATGATCTCAGTTCAGATCTTGATCTCAGGGTCATGAGTTCAAGCTCCATGTAGGGCTCCACACTGGGTGTGAAGCCTACTTACTTACTTACTTACTTACTTACTTTATTTATTTATTTATTTATTTATTTATTTATAACATTTATCTATTATTGAGACACACAGAGAGACAGAGCATGAGCATGGGAAGGGCTGAGACAGGGAGACACAGAATCCGAAGCAGGCTCCAGGCCCGGAGCTGTCAGCACAGAGCCTGACGTGGGGCTCGAACCCACAAACCGAGAGATCATGACCTGAGCCAAAGTCAGACGCTTAACCGACTGAGCCACCCAGGCGCCCCTATGTGAAGACTACTTTAAAAAAATAAAATAAGGGGCACCTGGGTGGCTCAGTCAGTTGAGCATTTGACTCTTGATTTTGAGTCAGGTCATGATCCCAGGGTTGGGCTCCACACTGAGCGTGGAAGCCTACTTAGGATTCTTTCTCTTTCTTCCTCTGTCCCTTCCCCCTGCTCACAAGTTCTCTCAATAAAAATAAAAATAAAAATAAAAATAAATAAAGAAAAAAAAAAGTGTCATAATGTTGGCATTGTGTTAACTGTTAAATTGAGGTGGTGGGTATATGAGAATTCATTGTATTACAAGGAAACACTAAAAAAATAGCATCATTAGAATTTAAAATACACATAACGACTGAAAGGAATTATTACAGACAGTAGCTATGTTAGGATGATGGGTGATTCCCACCCCTCTGTCCTCTAATGGAAATGTTCTGCAATGTGCTCATGTTGATTTTATAATGGAAAAAATAATGTGAAAGTTATTGTATAAACTTAAAAAAAAAAAAACAGAGGGGCGCCTGGGTGGCTCAGTCAGTTGAGCATCCGACTTCAGCTCAGGTCACGATCTCACAGTTTGTGAGTTCGAGCCTTGCATCGGGCTCTGTGCTGACTGTGCAGAGCCTGGAGCCTGCTTCACATTCTGTGTTTCCTTTTATCTCTGCTCCTCCCCCACTTGTGCTCTGTCTCTCTCTGTCTCTCAAAAATAAATAAAATGTAAAAAAAGAAAAAAAAACTAAAAAAAAAAAACAAAACAAAACAGAATAGGTAAAAGGTGCTAGAAAAGCTTTGTAAGAAGTGTCTTCATCATGGAAATACCACAACATATACGTGAAGCAGTGAACAGGAAGGATGTGTCAGGAAAACACCTCTGTCCCTATCATCTCTGTCTGCTTTTTTGAGTTTTAGTCTAGTCTTAGACTAGTTGCTGTTACCTTCAAACATTTTCAAGTTATTTGACAAAAGAAGGTCTTCTACTGGGTGTGGCTCCAGAAGTGATGACAAAATGAGGGTTAAGAATAAGCTTTAAACTCAATTCTGTGTGTATAAAATGGTACCTACATACCTGGAGGAGCAAATCGATTTCTGAAGTTAGCAATTCACAGCTTCGTGGAAGGGTCAAATCCCTTGCTCTTTTCTTATTCTCTCATCCATGCAAACACAAGCTTTAAAAATTACTTTGACCCATGGTGGACAACCCATAGCTGTGAAACATTCTTTTCATAGTAATTCCTCGTTTACGTGAAATTAGACACTGAAACAATTCTTTGAAATTTGCTTCAGTGATTGTTTATATGAGAATAAAAACACTACCAGCATACACGTGACATTTTCCCAGAACTTCTGAACACCCCATACATATGTAAAATTTTGTAGGAGAAAACTTTAAAACTCACTGTAAAGTGTTCAAAATTGGAAAAACACTATTTCCAGCACCACAGCCAACCTAAAAAATTGAAAGAATAAACAAATATCATGAAAAGAAGGTTAAATTTTCTTCACCAATGTTAGATTTTTTTCATTAAAAAAAAAAAACTAGAATAAATTTACTGGATCTCTAGGTGTAGGAGAGTTTTCTAAACTCAAAAGCAAAGGAATAAGCCACAAGAATAACACTGATTAATTTAACTATGGAAACATGTGAAATTTTTATACACCAAAACTCAAACCAAATTAAAAGGTGACCAATGCACTATGAAAAAAAATTGGCAATAAATATGATAAAAGGGTAGAATTCATTAAAAAAACAGTAACAGATAAATTAGCAAAGGAAATAAATAGAACACAAAAGAAATACAACTGTCTTCCAAACATCTGAAGAACTATCTGACCTAGTTAGCAATCAAAGAAATGCAAATTAAAACAAGGTGTAATTTTCATCTGTCAAAAAGGAAAGCACTTAAGTAAGAATATTCTAACCAATGAGAGTGTGATGAAACAGACATATATTGCTGTGAATTGGTATTAATACAGCTTCTTAGAAAATTATTTGGCAATATATTTTAAGAGCACTAAATTTATTATTTTATTATTTTTTTAAGTTTATGTATTTATTTTGAGAGAGAGAGAGAGAGAGAGAGAGAGAGAGAGAGAATGAATTACAAGGGGTCTCCACGCTGTCAGCACAGAGCCAGATGCAGGGCTTGATCCCACAAACCATGAGATCATGACCTAAAATCAGGAGTCGAATTCTCAAATGACTGAGACACCCAGGTACCACTAAGAGCATTACATTTTTAAAATAAATTACTAATTAGTAAATCTGACCCAAGATAATAAAAGAAATACAGAAAAGTCTATACCCAAAGATATTTTCTGTAGAAAACCTGAAAACAATTTATGCTCAGTACTGTAAAAACAGATAAGCAGAATTAAAGTACTCCACATAATAAAATATTTTGCAGCCACAAAAATGTTTATAGAGAATTTTTAAGA